GATTGATATCAACTTTGCTGAAGCAATACACTATCCTTTTCCTTAGTTGTTCTAAATTTTCTGCTTGCCAATTATCCTTGTAAACTAAACCTTTTATTATTGACCAAAAATCCTCAATAGGTCTTGCATCTGGTACATTTGCAGGGTTATGTTCTTTTGGTACAAATCTGACGTTTTGTCCATTTAAATAAGCTTGAACAGATTTAGCATAATGAGACGTTGCCAGATCTGGCCAAAATACGAATTGACTGTCTTGATGATGCTCTTTAATAAAAGAAATAAGACGTTTCTTAATACAATCTTCTAAGTAGATTTTTTGATTGATTGCAAGACCACTTTGACGGATTATAATTTTTGACATTCCTTTTACAGAAAAGGCTACCCAGACCAGGAGCTTGGGTTCATACTTTCGCTTTGTATAATATTTGACACTAGATGGGAAGAGGTTTATGTCACTTGTGTAGAAGTTATCGTTTCCGTTGATTGATGAATGAGAAAGAGTAAAATAAGATTCATCATCAATGATCCAATCAAATTTGCTAAAAGCTCGATATAATCTACCACACTTTGTTTTTTCTTCTTTCTTTTCTTGATCTTTGATTTTGTCTGAATAATTTTATGGGCATAAGAAGCTGATATTCTAAATTTTCTACCTGCTTTCCTATAAGAAACGCCATCATGATGATCAAACATTGATTTTAACGCTTGTACTTTTTTTTGGGTCATTTTTAGAGCTTTTTTTCCTGAACCAGGGCGTCTAAGATATCCAGAATCGTCATCAGCACGTTTAATTATATCATAGATGGTCGATCTGGCAATTTTTTCTTTTTCAAAATGATCTACTGTGTACTTTTTGCCTTTTTTTTTATTTTCAATATAGAAGTTGTACACACGTTTTTGAGTGTCGTCTTGTTTGAGTTTCATTTTCAATTTGAATAATCATTCAATCTAAATATAAATGTAGCATATTAAAGCTAAATTTAAACGCTTTAAAATAATGTATCACATGGTACAATTGCAATACATTATGTCAGATTTATATTGACTTAAAGTCAGTCCGGATTTCAAGTGAACACCCGTTATTTTACGTTTGTAAATTGTATTACTTAGAGAATATTTTATTTTGTTTTCCTTGTTTATATTTATGTAAATTGGAGACTTTTAATACTATAAAAATGAAAATAAGCTCTCATTTTGCATGTTTGTGCAATCAATAGAGTATTCTATTAAACGCAAGACGTGTTTAATACGCCTATAATATGTTTTAATACGTATTAATATGTATATTAAACGTTAAAAACACGTTTTGTGTTAACTAGGATAAAAAATCAAGTGTAAATTCAAGTGTCCAGATGTTGTAATCTGATTTTGATACATATATAACACATAGATATAACCTTGTGTCAAACAAATTTTGTACTTTTAAATTGTTTTATTTGATGAAAAAAATCTTTTAAATAACTATAAATTATGAAACACATAGAAAAATATCTGAAAAGTTGGCTTAAAATATAAAACAACTATAATTGCATTACAGCAAAGGTTAAGTAAAAATGATCCTTTTCTTATCTTTAGAACGCTAAAAAATCATGCAGGATGTTATAATTCAGAAAAACAATTATTTATGTATTAGTAATATCAGAAACAAGCATAAAACAAAGTCTTTCAAGATGTATAAAGCCCCAGATCACAATGGTGAACAAAATTTAGTGGAAAAAAGTTGTGCAAAAAAATTATACAAATTATTGTGTAGAAAAAAAAAGTATAATTATAGATGATATTAAGGACTTAATATCATCTTTATTTAAGGATAGACAAGCAACAGAAACCATACATCAAAGAAAGTAAAAGTGTTTTTATTCAGAAGCCAATTGAGTTACTTGAAATGCCGGCTCAAAGCCGGCATTTAAATACAAAATCAATACAAAATCGATACAAAATCGACTTGCAGAAATATTAAAAGCTAAATATGGTCTAACTCAATATTAAAAAGTCTAAAAATTTAATTATTTGGAGAAATGTTAAATACTTAAAACTTTGTTTAGATACATATTCAAAGTTAAAAAAATGCATAGTTTGAATGCATCTAGTGCTAGTAAATTTACAGATATTTTAAAAAACCGGTATTTCGGTAAAAAAAAAATTATTACCAGGTTACCGGTAATTTACCTTTTTTTTTTCTAAAGGCTTAAATAGTAATAACCTAAACACTGAAAACAACAAAAAGCATGACAAATGAATATATTAATAAAACAGCATCAGTTTACAGGTCCATCCTAGCTAAAAATAAATAAGTTAAACAATCAAAAGATTTGTTTTATATAATAAAATATAATTATTTCATTTATTATACATTAACATTTTTGTATTTTAGCGTAAACATAAACAAACATAAAGAAAACTTCATTTTTAAAATAAAAATAATTAATATAATCAATTCTTTTCAAGGAGCATAAATTGTTTAATGAAGTAAGCTCTTAAAAAACACATTACATTTAATGTTTCTTTGTTTAAACTTGTTCTGTACCTTGTGCCAATTAAATCTGCTGCAGAAAAAGCTTTTTCCCACTCTACACTGGTTAGGCGAACTGCTGAAATATACTTTTGGAGTTTGTTTAAATATTTTCCTTTAATATTTTGCTCCTTGAAATACCCCATTTCTTTCCTGACTATATTTAAAAGACCGAATGTTGTCTTCGGAACACTAAATGTTGAACTTCGGAACACCGAATGTTGTCTTCGGAACACTAAATGTTGAACTTCGGAACACCGAATGTTTTCTTCGGAACACTAAATGTTGAACTTCGGAACACCGAATGTTGTCTTCGGAATCTCTTTGTGAGCAATAGTAATCTTTTTTTTTTTTTAATTACTAAATCAAGTTTTTCCTTCATTGACATTGCTTGTCTTGATATTGCCACTGCTGATAAAACCGTAGATTTACTAGTTGATTCAGTTTCATACACTTGCACAACTTCAGCTTCAGTAGTTTCGGAATCATTTTTTAAAAATTGTTGAATGATTTCTACAATATTTTTTTTCATAACTAATTTACTTGTTGTATTAAACATGCCATAATTATTTTTATTATTTAAAGCTGTACGTGGACATGGTTCATCAAGATATGAATATATATCAGAATATACGGTCCTTCTCTCACTTATTCGAAATATTAAATCTCGTTTCAATTCATTACTAAAGAAATTATTTTGGTTACTTAGTTCATCCAACATGAACTTAATTGTCAAATCTGCAACATACAGATTCGTGTCCCTTGAACAGAGAGTTTCCACAGCTACTTTAATAGGTTGCAAAGCCATTATTATATTTGATTCAACATTGAGATCCTTTTCTGATAAATCTATATATTGGATTTGAGATCGATTAGACTCTTACGAACACAATTTTTAATCTCATAAATTCTTTCTAACATTATCATACTGCTCCACCATGTTTTTGTGTCAAGGATTAACGTAAGTTCTTTTTTAAACTCATCCTTAACATGTTTTTGGAGGATGTCATATTTTATTGGTGATCTACGGAACATGACAAAACTTTTTCAAATTTTTGTTATCATTGGACCTATACTTTCATGTTGAATTGATGAATCAGTAGTTGATGTATCCTCAATAACGTCAAAAACCCCAATATCTTCCACTACATCGTCCTCTTCATCTTCACATGTTCAAATTCAGTAATAGTCACTTCTTGATTTTTTATGGAAATATTATCCGAAACAGATCTTTTATACAGCACCTTAATTACTGATAACTTGATGCCGTGGGCTAAGCAAAGTTGATGATTTACGTCCAGTAATCTGTCTACCTTTTTTATTACGGCGGCCCCATCCGTAGTAATGGAAATTATATTTTCTATCGCAATACTTAATTCTTTAAGTGTATTTTGAAGATACGTTATACATTTTTCAGCAGGCATCGATCCTTTAATCCTAACCTATCCGAGATTCCAAAATACATTATCATACGAGTGGTCATTCGCATTCATAAATCTTCGATTTTTGAGAGATGTCCATTCATTGAAAGTCAAGCTGAATAATTCACCACGGGCTATTCTTTTGGATAAATCTGTAACGATTTGTTTTTGGATTTTGTCACCATACTGCAACACCATTTTCTTAATTGTTTTTGAAGACTTTTGGTAATCATATCCTTTGGATTTAAATAATTGCTGAAGATCCTATAATGTGCAAATCATTTTAAACGATAAACAATCTCATGCTCTCAGTCGTGATAAAACAGCTGGAAATGAGTCATCAATCGTTTTAATAATGTTAAAATAAACAGAAATTTTTGATCTAGAATTTGTATCATTCGTAACGGAAGTTGTGGTATTGATATTAGAACAGCTAGCTTTTGCATCATCATGTTGAACTCTTTTTAGCAGATAAATTTTATGTTTTCTGATAAGTACAAACCACTTGTGCTGCCGCCAGAGCATTTTATCTTTTTTTTGCATACATTGCATATAGCTGAATTGCCAACTTTCGTATGTAGAAAATGATTCCACAATTGATTTTGTCTGGACCCAGTAGACATCATAGATAAAGCTATTTTTTTTTTAAAAATTATTCATGTAAATTTTGGAAAACAATTTACATATTGAATTTTTTGCTAGCCTTAAATGCATTGTTAAATTTAAAGCACATTAAGTTAATTATTATAATTTAATTTTTTATATTATCATTATATTTTTTTATTTTTATATTATTATTATATTTTTTTTATTAAATTATTATAATTTAATAATTAAAAAAAAAATCGTTCAGATAATTATGACACAAATGAATTTACTTGTAATTAAAACTGATATATATATTTGTTAAATTTTGGTATTCTACAGAGGATTAATAAAGAATAATTTTTATTTTCTAATAAAATATTTATTTTTAATTTCTCTAAAAGTCTTAAATTTGTTATACATACTAAATACAAAAGAATAGAGTCTATCATTTAGAGAAATAATAATAAAAAAGCCAGCTTTGAAAATAACTTAATGTTTATAAACTTTTGATTTTAATAAACTTACACTTTTGATAAATAGATAAACTTTTTCTAAAATGACTTATAACAATGCAACAAAGTATTAAGGACTTACCAAAAATAGAAAACAAAAATAAAGATTCATCACAAGTTTTTTTTGAAGAATTCAGGTTAACAATAAACTTTAATAAACTATTTTGATTTTTATTGGTTAAACCACAAACCATTGATAAACAACTCTTCAGCTTTTCATTGGCTATAATCTCTTCATTACTTAAACAATTATATGCATATACAGATGCACAAAACTCCATTATTGTTAAATGTGCAAATTGATAAGAATAACCTAGATTTGTTTCAATCCTTTCTATAAATCCAAAAAACTTTTCTTCATCTTTATCGAAGTCAGTAATAAAAGTTTGAATTTCTTCTTTGGAAAAAATTACTTTATTTTCAACAAATAATTGATAAGCAATTTTACAAATGTTCAAAATATATTTTTTATTGGAATTGTTTCCCATCAATTGATAAATCAATTCATTGTTTTTGATGATGTGTTTTTGCAAAAAGTATAAAAAAACATTTGCATACAAATCTGTCATTGTTAAAAAAGAGTTTTTGTAAAAACATTTTGAATTACTAATAATCTTACACATTGAAGATAAATAAAATGGAACAGATGACATGGACTTTGCAATTGCAGATTCCTTTAAAGTTGCTTTCACAACATCTTTTTTTCCCTCTAAAACATTATTTTCTATATAGTTATCTACTCCATTTTCATTAAATCCCATAATTTGAATGTTTATCTTATCACAATGCTCTGTAGATTTACTTTGGTATTGATCAATTGCATAAACTCTACCAGCAACTATATATTTATATTTTTGAATTTCTGTTAAAACATTAACAATTGGATAGTTACAACTCGAACTGCAATTTATTAATTCATTTAGATATTTAAACTCATCTAATCCATCAATTATAAACAGTGCAGGATGAATACTAATATCAAAATCATTTATAATATCTTTGTAGAAAACATTTAGTAATTTGTTGATAGTACCAATAGTTTGACATAGATTAAGCCTTCTGCATTCCAAATAAAAAACAAGTTTAACATTTTCCCAAATTAGTCCATTTGACCAATCAAGCAAACATTTTCTAAGCAACCATGTTTTCCCAATACCGGCTATTCCAGATATTAATGTTACAGATTTTTCTTTCATAAAAATTTCACTATATGGAATTGGTGTATAGTTTATTTGCTTTTTTAGAAAATCCTCTCGTTCAACACTAAAAACAGCATCTATTTGAGTATTAACTGCATCAACGATACATAGATCAACAAATTTATTCATTAAATCAACATTTGCAGGTGATTTTAATGGTGGTTGAATTTCATTTATTTTTCCATAATTTGTAAGATAGTAACTTTTCAGTGCTGTGGATATCTCTGAGATATCTAAATATAGTAATTCATTATCATCATTATAGCCATCATCATTATCATCATCATCATCATCATCATCATCATCATCATCATCATCATCATCATCATCATCATCATCATCATCATCATCATCATCATCATCATCATCATCATCGTCATCATCATCATCGTCATCGTCATCATCATCATCATCATCATCATCATCATCATCATCATCATCATCATCATCATCATCATCATCATCATCATCATCATCATAACATCATCATCATCATCTACATCATGATCATAATCATGATTATTATCAACCTCAGCATTAACACCATCATCATCAATCTCAACATTAACACTATCATCGTATTAACATCATCATTATCAAATGTAAAAGATTATAGGTCATTATCATGGTTAAATATGAAGACCTTTCAATATTTTGAATAACAAGTAAAAGAATAGGTTCTAATAATTTAGTACATATTTTTTATTAAAAATATATGCACCAGATTATTATTGACAGTCTTGATTAATGAAAATAATGTTTTATTTATCTTAAAACTGAATATAAAAACTAAATATCAATTTTTTTTTTTCTAATTTACAGAACTAAAATAACTAGTGTCAAGTTACCCAAGTTAGTAAGTAGTTTATCAAGTCTTGAGGGTACAACTGGCAATGTAGCTAGAAGTTTTCTAAGCAGTGAAAAAAAGTGGAAAACTAAGTTAACTATTTTATATTAATTTTTTGACATATAACATAGCATCAGTAGACAACAAAAGACCATACCACTTAGCTTAGTCTTTTGTTGTCTACTTGTTTTTCATGCTATGACATCTTGTTAAGAATTTAATATAAGTAAATGAATATAAATATAAGGGCATTATAATATAATAATATAAGGAAATTAATATAAATATAAGGGCATTAGTTAGGGTAACATTACTCTTTTCTAAAATGTAAATATAAAAATACTCAATATAAAAATATAAATGTCAAAATTATTTTTTTCAAAATTATTTATTTTTGTAAAAAATCCTGTTGTAAAAAGTTTTCTTCTAAAATTTCTGTAAAAAATATGTGCGCATTTTTAAGCTTAAGAATTAACATGAAGAACATTCTGATTTTAATAGATTCTGTGAAAGTAAACTCTATCATATGACTTTGTAAGGTCAATTATTCTCCTAAAAGTAATGGAAATTTAAAAAAGTTTTAAATTTTTTTTTTAGTAAGGGTACATTCATGTCGCTAGATCAACATTTGCCTATTTGCCAACAAACCCTATGTTACATGTTTAAAAACAAGATTTTTTTGTAGATTCTTTTTAAAAGTTGATAAACGTTCATATTAAGGTATATCAGAACATTTCCACATAAACACTAATGCATGTTTTTATAACTATTTAAATACTAATAGCTTATACCCATTCATTTATTTATTCAAAACGTGTCAAGAATCTAATCTCTTATTCAAATCTAATATTTTAATAATGCATTATACTGGCCTAAGCTAAAGCAATTTTTACAACAAATTTATATTACCCACTACATATTATTAGTGGTAAATATATCACTTACAATATGTAGTGGTATATTTACTAATATGTAGTGGTATGTATTAATTTATATTAGGGGTCATTTCCCTTGCCAGAACAACGTAACTCCTCCGTAACAAGTCCCAAACGAGTTAACAAAAAACCACTAATCTCTCTCCCTCCACCTAGAGCGAAATGTAATTTATAGGCGACCCCTTAACCACTATTCAATATAAGGAGAAAGAGCTATGAACAGGTGTCATGTCATTAACTTAATTTCAAATGGAACTGACAACAACAACTGAATTAATATAATCTAAAAAATATTTCAAGGTTTAAAATGTAAAATAATTTTTTTTTTAAATTTGATTTTAATGGATTTAAAAGATTTGACAATTTGTTATATTTTATTATTTACTGGAAATTTTATATTGAAATAACTTATATTGAACTGAATTATATTTTAAATAACAATAACAACTGCAGCAACAGGTCAGGTCTAAGATCATCGCGATCACCCTGCTAATGGTACCATGTAACTAAGTAGTACCTGTCCCATGCCGTGCTGCCTTTTAGAGTTTATTTTTAAAGCAAAGGCTAATAGAAATAAACTCCAACTTAAAAATTCCCCTACCTTGGGCCTTTTGTTTGAGTAAAGGCTAGAGATGGTCTCAATAAATATACTCATTATAGGCAGACCCAGTTACTTAACTGCATCTTCTTAGGCAAATACTACTTTAGAATTAAGTAGGATGATTCTGTTAATGAACTTTGAGCCTCTTCTTTATCTATTAGGTTGGCGTGATTGTATACATGTGTTACATTGTTTCCTCTCCTTGATTGTGGCTCTTCCTGTTATCTCTTAATGAAGATACAGCTCTAAAACTCTGCTCAATGGTTCTGAGGCTGGCTGGTAGTAAGGTTTCCTAAACTCTGCGTAAGCTCTCAGAGAGGCTGATTCCATCTAAATTAAAATATCAGAGTACTAACAGTGCCATGTTGTGTATGGATAGTGTCCCTGTTAATGCTTTTGGTCTGCATTATCCAGGATAATGCACATTTACCATATGTAAACTTTTATTAAAAAGTATTGTTTGAATTATAGTTAAAAAAGTCATTAAAAAATTTTTTTTTTTAATTAAAAAAAAAACAAAAAACATATAAAAACTGTAAGTTTTTCTGTAGAATAAAATTGATTTCAATCATGGCCTACTATAATGGCAGGCCTAGTAAACGTTCGGCTAAAAAAAAAACTGTAGACGAGTTATAATTTTATAAACTTCTATTAATATGGCGCGTTTTAAAAAAAAAGAGTGTGGTTTTTAATTTAATATGCGATACGTTTTAATTTTATGTATATTAAATTTTAGAGCTAAATAATTAAATTTGAAGAATATGGTTTTTAAGTGTTGTGTCACTGGATGCAGAGGTAACTACAATGTTACAAAGTCTGTAAAAGTTTTTCGCCTTCCAAATAAAAAAATATGGATAAACGAAAAAGATGGATAAGTGCTATACCTCGAGGTAAAATTCCAGATAGCCCAAATTCTTTTATTTGTGAAGATCATTGGCCTAAAGACTATGAAAAAGTTTTAGTATCTGTATTTTCTTGTGTAAATCCAAGTCGAATTCCGACTCCACTTGCACCACCAAGACCAGAAACTAAATCATTGTTATCTTTAAGAAGTACTTTGCCTGATGAAATGGAAGCTTTAGTGAAAGCTAATAATATTTCTTCTTTCAAAGATTTGTGTAATAAAATAATGTCTAAAACTACATCTTTTTATATTTAATAATATTGAGTATCAATGAAAACTGTTTACACCTTTATTCTGCTGATATATTGGATAACTCAGGTGCTCCAAAGTTTATTTTGAAAATACCAAGTATATCTTTAATGAAAAAGTTGACATCTAAAGTTAGAAATGTTGGAGATGATGAAAAATGTTCTATATCTCAAAAACAGATTATTTTACCAATTGATAAAATTTATGTTAAACCAAAGTTAACAAGGAGGTAACATTTTTAGTAAATCTGTAAAATCCCCAATGAGTTAGCAAAAACAGTTTTGGGTTTAATGATTTGTTCTTTTTTTGGTGAAAAACAGTTTTTGTATAAAGCATTACCAGTATCAGGTTTAGATGCTAATTTTCAATACGATCAAACAGTGCAAATAATTAAATCGAAAAAAAAAAGTGGTGGTTCTTTTGTTGCCATACTTTGCAACAATAACAAAATAAATAAAAAGTTTTTTGGAATGTTCAATCTCCATAATAAATAATAGCTTTACTAATGATAACATTTTACTTCTGTATGACTTTGTTCATTTAATAAAATCTATTCGCAACAATTGGCTTATAGAAAAATTCCAAGAAATATGCTTTACTTACAAAGATATTTCAAGAAATGCAAAATGGTCAGATCTTAAAAAACTTTTTTCTATTTGAAAAAGATGCTATTGTGAAACTGTCTAAACTTAATCAATCAATCAATTCATATATTCTGAAATAGTTTTCACATTCACAGAAGTTTACAAATAGTACCTATACTAATCTTAAGTAAAAACCTTGCAAATAAATATATTGTTAATGCTAATAGTAATATTAATCATCAACAGCAGTAACAAAACGAACATTAAAAGTTGAAGGAGTAAAAATGCTAATAATGATAATAATAAAAGATGTAGTTGTAACAATAATAACAATACAATGATAAAAGTAAAATGATGATAATAAAAACAAAATAACAACACAGGTATGTATACTTTTTTTTTTTTATTTTTTTTTTATTTTACTTCACCTCCTCAAGGCCGAGAAGGCCACTACAAACGAGGAGGCTACTTATTTTGTGGCTATAACCCTCTCTCAACTCTATAACTCCGAAACACGAACCTTGACAAACAAGGCCGCTGCGCGGAGAAACGAGTTGAGCGCGGTACTACCAGGGATGTGGTGGGGATCGAACTCGGAACCACTCGTTTATGAAGCGAGCGCTCTACCACTACACCACTACCGCAAACCCTGACTTTAATTGTATACAAACATAATATACACCCGTATATGGAGATTCATATATACTATACACAAATATACGTATATACACACACGTAAATATTCATACACACATACATAAACACATACATACATACATATATACAAACATAAATACATATACACACAATTAATAATTGTATATATGTATATATTATATACACCAACACATATTCGCATACACACATACACATATATATATATATATATTTATGTATATATATATATATATATATATATATATATATATATATATATATATATATATATATACACATATACAATCACACACAAACACATATATATATATATATATATATATATATATATATATATATATATATATATATATATATATATATATATATATATATATATATATATATATATACCTACATACACGTACACACATATATATATATATACACATATAA